ATTAATGGATCAAAATCCATAAATGTGGATGTATACTATATTTTGATCACAATAATTTAATCATTTTGAGCTAACTCTATATCTGTGCCCAATATTAATTAAGGTTTTCTTTTTATCTCTTTAAGCCATTTATTTTGTAGTAATCTTAGATTCGGAGTATCCAATTTTATTATTTGATTAGTAGTAATATGTAACATCCTAACATTTTAGGATGTTTAATTAAGAAGCATATGGGGATTTTAGCTGCCTTCCTCAATTACTTATTACGTAAAATCCAAAATTTTAATATCTCTCTTAGTATAACATATCAAGATATATACACATTATATCTAAAAGTGTATATACATCCTCTCAATCATTTGTTTTCTGAATAGGATAACAGTTCTTCATTTTTTAACAAAAATCATATTTAATAAATTAAAAAATGGACATTCATCAATGATGATTTTTTCGAAATTTCACGGTTGGAAACTTGGAATTGGATATTTGTCCAACTTTAGAGGAAAATAAGATAAACCTAGTTACTTAAAATGGAATTAAGAAACCTAACAAAATTTCCATTATTTTTCACCATAGTCAATAAATGAAAATGACAATAAAAAGTGACATCCAACCCAAATTTAGACGGGTGAGGAGAGAACTATAATGTAAATATATTAGTTTGATTTATATACCTTCATTAAGTAAGAATTTAACATCCTATTTTAAAATTGGTTACAATACAAAAATTATGTAGAAATTATATTAAGATTTAGCATAAATCTAACGTGCCTACTAATTAACTAGGGTTATTTGTACACATTAAAATGTGGCTCAGGTAGAATTATGTATTGGTCATGGCTTAAAATAAAAGAAAAAGAAAGAAAGAATAGTCTCGTCCCCTCACCCTTTAAACCACTCTCTTCTCCATCTCAAAGACAAAAATTTCAAGAAAAAACTTTAAAAGAGTCGTAATCATAGGCACTCAGGTTGAATAGAAACTCAAAATTTCGATAATCAATCATGGAGCGTATTCGATCCTTACCAGAACTGCTACAATTGCTTCAGTGAGAGTTGCAGCCAGTATTGGAAATGGTTCTCTATCCCTGTAGGGATGGAATGACAGAAATTTTGAGAATTCAATTGTTCTTTCTTTCTTTTTTATTACCTTCCTCGCGTAGGTATAAAACCGAATCCATTTCGAAAGACTCGTTACAAAAGAAATCAGTTACTTTTTCGATAATTTCCTTAACGAGCAAAATAAAAAACCACGTCAAAAGTGGGAAACCAATCAAAACTCAACAATCCAAAAAAATAAACATGATCAATTTCGGTTTCTACCTATGTCTCCAAATTCCAACAAAAGAATAAGAGATACGGACAGACTTAAAAGAGAAAGATAGGGTTTGATTGATAGATACAGATAAATATCAAACTAACCATAATTTTCCACACGTGGCTTTTTCTAGGTGTAAAAACAGATCCTAGTTTAATGTTTGTCTAAAACGTGAGTCTAAAAGGTTTCTTTTTTCTTTCTAAATTCAACAATATTCGAGGTGGTATATTCCATCTTTTGACTTGGCCATACTTACAAAGTCAGAATATAAGGAGTGGGGGTATTTTCGCAATTAGATGTTATTGCAATGATAGTATTGATTTGAATTTTTTCTTTTTATTATTTTTTTAATACATTAGTATGATTTGATATTGTGAATGATATAGTAATTGGAATGATGTATGCTCTTTTAAATTGGTCGCCCGACATAGTTTCTTGAATATTTTTTTGTTCTCTTATTCACCGGGAAATCTAATCTGTTTTCCATATTCCATTTTATTATCTTAATCGTTAAGCTTTACCTATTTACTGAACAATACACGTAAAGTAAATATATAGAAAACTTCCAAACCATCACTTTGTTAAAAGAATATAAGAAAACTATCACTTTGTTAAAAGAATATAAGAAAAAAATACGCGTCATTTAAATGTATAGAAAACATTTGACTATTCTATTGGTTAACAGGAAAAAAAAACACTATGCATAATGTAGTCCATTATAAACATTTTTTAAAAAAGAAATATTCTTCAAAATATTTGTCTCCCAATATTAAAAAAGAAAAAGAAAAATTAAGAAAGATCTTTTATTCTTGGTAAGAATTTGTAAAGTATTATGTACAACATGTGAATGCAGAGATTCGAATCCAAGACATTTTGATTAGAAATAGACACCTTAACCAAAGTTGACTATTGAATAATATTTATAATAGTCTATCCTCAAAAAATATTATAAAAAAAATGTACAATAATGGTCATTGAATTATTGCTGATATTAATACTCGTTTGGTTAATAAATTTTACAAATTACAATAATAAAAAAGACAATATTTTATTAATACGTACATTAAGAATAACAAACAATCCCTTAGATCAGCAATAATGCATCATCCAATATAGAGATGAAATTATACCCAATTTGCACATAAACATCCAATATATATATATATATATATATATATATATATTCATAGATTAAGCAATGCATCAAAGTATGTTACCCCATTCAATGAATGTTACAAACAATAGATCAGTCAATCAAAAACCAAAGAAGTTTATTAATAAAGAAATCAAAATAAATACAATAGAAAGAATTAACCAAATATTTGCATTCCCCTTTTTATTCATGAACATTCACAAAAAAAACAAAAAAACAAAAAAAAATAGACAACATACATTTCAAAATCAAATTCCCTTATCCCCACCATTTGGCCATGTAGCAAAAATGGTGATCAGAAACAGAAATCACACCGCCATAATTGAAATTTAACACCAAAATTCAAAGAATAATACCGAATAATTCAAGGCGAAGCGTTGAATTCTACATCAACGATGAATCCCATTCCCACGCCACCGTGGCTTCAAAATTTGATCTTCTTGGGAATTGAATGGAATCGAAAAACCAATCCCAAATTCAAATTGGAAATCGGAGATCCTCTTGAAAAACAAGAAGAAATTAAATCAAAATCGAACTTAATTAAGGAGAAGGAGAAATTAGGAGGTGGTTGTTGAAGCTATTCCCACGGCAGTACTGAAGCTCCAGCGACACCTGGCGCTCGATCTGAAGCTGCCGGTAGAAATTAGCTATAAACATATCCGCCCGCTTGTCCACGTCATCTTCGGAAGCATAGCTGGCAGTTCTCTGCAGCCCTGGAGAGTAGTGTTGAGATGATTCCGTAATATCTTCGGTGCAGGCCTTCAATCCTGGCCGTTCGTTGAAGCTCAGCCGTAGATTTCTCGACGAAGTCCGCCCCATCATGGCCGCCAACCGCCAGCTTTGGATGCTGAAGTTTATCATAAATCTCACCTTCCTCACCGCCTTCCGCAGCCTTCCCAGCAAGCTACTCCCCGCCATTATTTTCGATCGCAAAGCTCTAATTAATTAAATTCTGTGTTTTGATTTCAAAGTTCAAACTCAATTTGGGGTTACCAAAAATTCTGACTTTTTTCTCTTTTCGGTTGTAGAAGTTGAGGTTTTGGATAATATAATTTGGGATTATTTGGGGGTATTTGTAGTGGTGTTAGCCGCCAATTAATAATACGGTGTCGTGTGGAAGTTGGTGGGAAGTTTCTGTGTAGCAACATGGGAAACAATAGAAAGCAATGCGTGTGGGATTTCAACTTTCCAGACCGTGTTTGGATCCAAGGACGCTTTCGGAATTATCACAAGTTTGTAAGGTCAAAACTTTGATAGGGTCTTAATTGATTTCGTTATATTTATATTAATCACATTTGGCTTCTGGGTAATTATTATGTGGGATATTCGGTAATTACATTGAAATAATATTTAGATACTAATCAGTCCACCGCTAGACATCGGATATCCAAACATCTTGAAATGCCCGAATATATATCTTATATTATTTCTGCAAAACAAATATGACTCTATTTTTATGAATACAATATAGAGTTGTCATTGGCATACTCGTTAACAAGATAGAAGATAAATGTTTTAAATTTCCTTATAATAATGTCAATTTTTCAGTTTCCTAATCATTTTAATTAGTTTTGAAAGAAACTCCTTTACTCTTTGCAGATGTGAAATTTGAATTTTTTTTAGTTCATCCTAGGACGTGGTTAATGAAGTTTGGGTGTATTTAAAAATGATGGTAAAATTAATGATTTTGAAAAAATAAATTTAAGTATAATTGATTTTTGAAAGTCACCGTTCTTGATGCCTTAATTTAAAGTGATTTAAATCTTGTTTAAAATAGAAATTTTAATTTGACATAAGGGAAGTGATTTCGATAATGAGAATATCAAAATTACTCTCAGATACATATTTTTTTGTTGTCAACTTTTTAATTCCGAACTATAATAATTTATAAGCATAGTTTCTGATGGGATGCATCGTATCATTATGCCCAGTGAAAGTGATACGAAACCTACCATTTTTATAGTTTATGATCACAACAAAAACCTCCATAATAATGATAAAAAAAAGGGCCATCCAATGGCTCATCTTAACATGTTATTTCCATGTTATGGCATCTTCTAATAGGATAAAACAAGGTAGATTAAGTAAATTTTTTTTGGTTGGTGCGCATCCCTGCTCTCATTTACTCTTTTGTATTGTATCATTTCGAATAATTACTTTTTAATTTATTAATATATTACGTCAACATTTTTTAAAATAGGAAACATTTCTTTATTGTATTTATTTATTTCTTTTGATAAAGTTGAATTTTCAAATCAATTCTTTAATTGAAAAATTGCACTAAATTAACAATCAGAGAATTCGACCACATCACTACGTGTATGTGGGTTATCTATGGAATACTTTTATTAAAATTAAGAATAAAGAATATTGAGAGCTTTACCAACACTTTTTGTATTTGAAATGATAATGTAATAAAAATAAAATAAATGATATTGAATTTTATTTGCTAATTGAGTTAATTTATTTTTAACCACATAGATTTGAACTATAAAGTTTGAGAAAAATAAAAAATTCAAAATTTGAAGATGGTCTTTAGAAGTTCATGAATTTCATAATAATTTCAGAAAAACGTAAATCATTTCTAAATGATTCAAGCTGAAACATCACAATCACATCAAAAAGCACCTTATTTTATTATTAGTTTCGTTTCAAGCAACCAATTTAGATTTCTGGTAGATAACTGGACCATTAAAAAAAAAAGATTACAAAAAAAAAAAAAAACTGGACCGTTAAACAAAATACATATTTAATAGGGTAATAAAATAATAAAATTGTTCTGCAAGCTTTACTTGTGAAGTTGTTCAATTATAAATTGAGAAGACGTGTAGAAGTTAATAATATATTATATAAAATCTTTGAAATAATTAACCTAGAGAAGAGGAACGTTTCCAGATTAATAATTGCCAGGCTGTGACGTATTATTCCTTTTTCCTTGCTTCCCAGCTGGCGATACGGGCCACGTGGCATGTTGACTTGGTATTTTTTATTCATATATTTTTTTTTCCTTTGAGAAATAGGTCGTCATATGGTATTACTATTATTTTTTTTTTGCAAAGCTCGTCTTTGGTATTATTATCCATGCATGCAATAAGAAAGTACCGCTTTTGGTATTGTAGTAAAAAAAAAAAAGTATCACGATTGAAAGAAAAAAGTACGTCAACCCAAATGTAATTCATCTAATTAAGATATATATATTTTCAATCAAAATGTGTATTCAAATCTCTACTCATATTGTTATACCAAAAAAAAACATAAAAACTACAAATTGATGTCCATGAAAAAAATTGAAAAAGTATACCATATTAATTTAATATATATATACACACGTACTTTCACAACTTTAATTTTTTCTAGCATAAGTTTGATTTTTTTAATATTAATTTCACATTATATTTAAATTTATTGATTTGAATTATGTTGCTTTAAAAAATTTTAAACTTTTTGCTATATTTAAAAGTACATAGTTATTTTATATTATTCATGTAATTGCCTAAAATATGATTGGTTATATAGCCTCGTTTATTGTTTGTTAAATCTGCAGTTTTAATTGAAAATGAGGCTCTGCCAAAATAAATAATAATAATAATAATAATCAAAATAAAGGTTGTTTAGGTAATTATACTCTATATTAAATTATAAATTTACTTCTTTTTAATTCAAATTCAAATTTTCTACATTTTGGTGTCGGAAAACAAATAGGAATTTTTAATTCCTAAGGTAGATGATCATTATGGAATTTGATCACATTCCTTCCTAATTAACTATAACCTCTTTGGATCAACGAGTCACTTGGTATATTTACTATTTTAAACCCATTCATCAGTTTGCAACAACTTGTCACTTGTCAATTGATTTTTTTCTTTTTTGGTGAATACTACCATTTAGAATAAGAGGAATCGAAGCCAACATAAATACTTAGTTCAACGGATTTGACATCTATCTCTAATTATGAGGTTGTACTCAAACAAATAGAATAAGAGGAATTGAAACTCCAACTTTCAAGTAAATGAGTATTTACACTGAACTATACATTTTGGAAGAGAAAAATTGAAGCATATAAACGGTTCCACCAAAAAATGCTCTTGGACTGATATGAAAATTGCCCGTCAAAGTACAAAACTCTATTAAAGTTCACATCCAAAGACAAAATAACTGATACAATCAAAGTCAAATCCATACATCTGGTCTTTCTATCAAAGACAAATCTGAACTAATACAATGTCCTTAGCCATTTATTATGCATATTTACTACATCGTCTATCAAAAAAAAAAAAAAATATATATATATATATATATATATTTATTTATTTATTTAAGATCATTTGTTCCTCCTGAAACAACTTTGACATTTGGAATATCTATAAAGCCACCCCTCGATTAAGAATAAATAACATCTACTTCTTTCTATGTTGAAGGTTCAAACCTTCGTATTCTATTTAGAATAAAATTTGATTTCTCATCCATTAACTTTTTTTTTAAGAACAATTTCAGAGTATTTTTTTTTTGTTTTTATTGTTGGGTTGGTAAAGGAAATGCAAACAAAGTTTCATATTGGCTAGATAAGTGAATGATCTATGGTATATAAATAAAGACAATTATCTCTATTGGTATGAAGATTTTTGGGTGGAACCAAAGCAAAGCCATGAGGCTTATGTCCGACAATATCATACAATTATGGAGAGAATAAAGGAAGCGGTGAGTCTCGGAAGATGTAATCATGGTGTGATCCGTGGTTGTGCTCTATCAAGATGTAGGGAGGCTTATGTATAAGAGCAAACACAAGTGAAGGCAAACAACCATATTGTTGGTTTTTTTAAGTTTAAGTGAATGCAAAACAAGCATATTGTTGGTTTTTTTAAGTTCTGTTTCATAATTATTTTGTTGGTCTTTTTGTTTTTCTAAAATTTTAACTTATAAATACTATCCCACCTAACTTAAATTTGAAAAATTATATTGTTTTTCTAAAATTTCTAAAATTATATTGCTTTGTTAGAAATATTTTAAAATCTAACTTAAATTTGAAAAATTAAACAAATAGGGTTTAAAAAACTTGTTTTTATTTTACAAATTAGATAGAAATTTAAATGTGTTCAGAAGAATGATAAAAAAAATATATCAAATAAGTTAAAGAAAAATCAAAAATAAAAACAAAATTGTTATCGAATCCGACCTACATTATTGTTCTAGTTTATTACTCTCACATATATATGGTTGTGGTACATATATATGCATGGTTGCACTGCACCCTCAGCAAACAACTATTATCATTTCCATATTTTCGGTAGTTTCTTCCGAATTAAATAATAAAAAAAGCTATTAAAAATAAGATATTGTATGAATAAAACTAAATGAGTTAATTTAATTATTTCCAAAAGCATTGTAATTTTTATTTATATATAAACTCTATATTTCACCAACCACATAACTAGCTGCTATCTGCTTTGTGCTCTCAGTTTTTCTCAAACCATACTTCAACCAAAACCCTAAATCAATAGAATTCTCACCTTCTCGATTAATCCCTCTAATTCCCCGCACTTCCTACTTCGCAACAACAAAATCACCGATGGCGGCGGCCGATCCACCGCCGGAATTCATATTCCGGTCAAAACTCCCGGACATTA